GCACATATACCCAATATGTACATGTATGTACATACCCAGGATATGCTTTTTATGAACTTTGATGAATATACATGCATGTATATTCCACGAACATTCATGTTAGGAATGTTCAACCCTGTATATTCCCAGTATATTCCCGCAATGTTCTGTATATTTTTTGAACACTCTGGGATATTCATAGAATATCAAATGCTATCTGGGTATGCTTTAAGTATAAATGAAATTAATGACGAAAATTATTTACATTGAGATTATGAAGGAAATTGAGTTTTACATGGAGCAACAATTTTGAAATTTAAATATCATAAAGGAACAGTAAGGACTTTACAAGCTCTAGTAGATCTCCTAATTGTAGAATGCGTTACGGATGCACGAAGGAAAAATGAAATAAATTGAACTGCAGGTCGCTAAATTATTAGAAATAAAATTAATTGAAGAATAATTAACTCTATTTACGGTTTGTAGAGAATGGAGATTATGTGTAAATTTTTTAATCTTAAATAAAAATGGTGACTCATCAGTGGTTCTCTATAATAGAAGATCTGATCGAGAAAACGTGTAGGATTGTAAAATGCTTCTCAATTTTACGAAGTCAGTATTCTGGATTCTGGGTGAAACTTTAGCAAATTTACAAGCAGTATATCTTTTATCCAGCAGGAATATTATATGATAATTTACCTTTTTATGTTAAATCTACTATCAATTGAATTTGAAATAAATTGCCAACTACAACACCAAAAAATACACAATTATTAATTACCTGGCACAACAGTTGGTGGTTGATAATTTATACCAACTTTGAAACCAGTTGGGCACCAATCGACAAACTGGATGGTACGTTTCGTTTTGATGGTAGCAATAGCCGCATTAACATCTTTTGGTACGACATCTCCTCTGCAGCATGAAACAAATATTATGTTACAATTTAGAACTATTTAGAGCTTTCAAAGCAAATATGGTTATTGAATTGACCATATTTGTTAATGAAAATCGATGTATTATAACCGTTATCCCCACTTAGGTAAAAATAGACAGCCAATAAAGCCACAAATAGAAACTGCGCCACGTTTACAGCCAGTTTTAGTGGATGTTAACGCATGAAACGCCGAATTCAGAAAAAAACCCGCACTGATGTCACTTCTTCACTGCAATCTTTCAAATCCGGTCAGTTATTATCAATATCGGAACGCAGGTACATTTGATAAAATCTGTACCAAAACCAAGATTTTGGAGAGGCGGACTCGGCTTCATATTCTAAAAAGGTCCATTTACACCTACGGTGGATCCCACCAAAATCAGAAAACTATGAAAAATTCGCTGGCATACTGATTGGAAGCGCTAAGCGTAATATACCCCGCGGATACAGAAGAGAATATATAACCTGGTAGAATAAGAACACGGAAACCTTATACAATGTGTATAAGAAATCCGGATCTAGGAAGCCAAATATTACAATCGCTCAACGATGAAAGAAGGAAGCGATGGGAAAGTACGACAGAAAATATGGATTTTTCAGCTTCCAGGCGAAGAGGATGGTCTCTTCTACTTCGACTTGGAGATGCAACTCACCAAAGAACATAAAGTGATTCCTTGTCAAGTAGCGTTAGATATAGTAAACAACGTTCAGAAAATGGACCGATTTATAAAAAGTTCGAAGACACGGTTAAGGAAGAAAATTAATTAACATTCCCCTTGAAGACAATCCTCTTTTCTCTTCCTGTTTTGCTAACGATGAAATGAACATCAAATGAAGGGCATAAGTACACTCAAATTTCGGAAGGCAGCAGGCTTCGATGATGGTGTATTCCCATAATTTATAAAGCACCTAGGACGACCTGCGAGAGGACTACCTCCTACGACCACCTGCACAAGCGGCTTAGCAAATGCCTCACAGATATACTAAATACGGGACAAACCCCAGAACAGTTCAGAATAGCTCAGACCCCTAGCTACTTTGAAACCAGGGAAACCAAGCGACGACCCAGCCAGCTATCGCCCAATCGCACTGCTCAGTGTTTGTTATAAATTGATAGAGAGGCTAATGTTCAATAGAATATATCAAACTGTAGACGATATTATTCAGCCAAACCAGGCTGGTTTCAGATCCAACCGAAGTTGCTGTGAGGAAGTGCAAGCCCTAACGACATACATCGAATCGGACATATAAGGACTTTTGACAAGGATAGACACCGTTTATATTCGCACTTGTTGTTCGCAACACAAGTGGTTCTAGTTTGTTTGTTTGAACATGTACTGGAGAACGGTATTTGCAAGTTCAAAAGTCCAGACACCCCCTGGTGGTTAAAATTATAACTATAAGTTAAGTAATAATTTGACATTGCTTTGTTGACGTTTGGTGTCACATTAGCGTTTACTTCTGATTTTAATTTGTTTTGTTTTGTTTTAATTAACTGTAAGTGTTGTACTGTAACGGTGTAAGTATTGTTTTATGTTATAAATGTCATCAACTCCAATAAATAAACAAGTGTCACAAGTCACAACTGTCACTCGACGACGAGTAATTTGACGTTTTGCAACGCCACCATCCGTAATTGAACTAGCGAATTAAAAAGTTTTGGTGAGATGGTGTCAGTCTGACGTACGTCTCTTTCAATATTGAATTTGTCAGTGTTGTCGTGGAGTCTGACACATGCAGTAGCCATGCAGTAGATGCCCAAGGTGGAGTAATCCTGGGCCCAGAGATCCCGACTAGGATACCGACAGGATCGGGAGCTCCTGAAGTGTTGGATATTGCCAT